ATGGGGGGAAAATCCATGGGAAAGTGGGAAAAAAAACAGGGGGAGAAACCACGGGAAAGAGGGAAAACAACAAGGGGAAAATCCTTGGGAAGGAGGGGAAAAAAACAGGGGGAAAATCCACAGAAAAATGGGAAAAAAACAGGGGGAAAATCCATGGGAAATTGGGAAAAAAACAGGGAGAAAATCCATGGGAAAGAGGGAAAAGAAACCCCCCGGGGTGTCCCCAGGATCCCATTCCCAGGATCCATACCCTCTCCCACTTGGCATTGATGACCTGAGGGGTGACTGATGTGTAGGGGTTCCCAGGGGGCAGGAGGATCCCGTGCAGCTCCCCATCCCCATTCCCAGGATCCCATCCCCATTCCCAGGATCCCATCCCATCCCATTCCCAGGTATTCCCAGGATCCATACCCTCTCCCACTTGGCATTGATGACCTGAGGGGTGACAGAGGTGTAGGGGTTCCCTGGGGGCAGGAGGATCCCGTGCAGATCCCCATTCCCAGGATCCCATCCCATCCCATTCCAGGGTATCCCCAGGATCCCATCCCATCCCATTCCCGGGTATCCCCATCCCCATTCCCACCCCAGGATCCCATTCCCAGGATCCATACCCTCTCCCACTTGGCATTGATGACCTGAGGGGTCACTGATGTGTAGGGGTTCCCTGGGGGCAGGAGGATCCCGTGCAGATCCCCATTCCCAGGATCCCATTCCCATCCCATCCCCAGGATCCCATCCCATCCCATTCCCAGGATCCATACCCGTTCCCACTTGGCATTGATGACCTGAGGGGTGACTGATGTGTAGGGGTTCCCTGGGGGCAGGAGGATCCCGTGCAGATCCCCATCCCCATCCTGGGGGATCCCATCCCATCCCATTCCCAGGATCCCATCCCATCCCATTCCCAGGATCCCATCCCATCCCATTCCCAGGATCCCATTCCCAGGTATCCCCAGGATCCATACCCTCTCCCACTTGGCATTGATGACCTGAGGGGTCACTGATGTGTAGGGGTTCCCTGGGGGCAGGAGGATCCCGTGCAGATCCCCATTCCCATTCCATCCCATCCCATCCCATCCCCAGGATCCCATCCCATCCCATCCCATCCCATTCCCAGGATCCATACCCGTTCCCACTTGGCATTGATGACCTGAGGGGTCACTGATGTGTAGGGGTTCCCTGGGGGCAGGAGGATCCCGTGCAGCTCCCCATTCCCATCCCATTCCCAGGATCCTGTGCAGACCCCCAGGATCCCATTCCCATTCCCAGGTATCCCCAGGATCCATACCCTCTCCCACTTGGCATTGATGACCTGAGGGGTCACTGATGTGTAGGGGTTCCCTGGGGGCAGGAGGATCCCGTGCAGATCCCCATTCCCATCCCATTCCCAGGATCCCATTCCCAGGTATCCCCAGGATCCCATCCCATCCCATCCCATTCCCAGGATCCATACCCTCTCCCACTTGGCATTGATGACCTGAGGGGTGACAGAGGTGTAGGGGTTCCCAGGGGGCAGGAGGATCCCGTGCAGCTCGGCCGCCCGCTGCGCTTCCCGCTGGATGGCCAGGATCGCCTCCCGCTCCTTGTCCGCCTCCGGCAGCGTCGACTTGAACTGGTCGTGGGCGGAGATCAGGCCCTGGGGGGACAGGGAGAGGGATCAGAACCGGGAAATGGCATGGAGAGGGACTGGGATGGACAGGGAGAGGCATGGAGAGGGGTTGGGATGGACAGGGATTGGGATGGACAGGGAGCGGGATCAGCACCGGGAAACAGCATGGACAGGGGTTGGGATGGACACAGATTGGGATGGACACAGATTGGAATCAGCACCAGGAACCAGCATGGACACGGACTGGGATGGACAGGGATTGGGATCAGCACTGGGAAACGGCATGGAGAGGGGTTGGGATGGACACGGACTGGGATGGACAGGGAGCGGGATCAGCACCGGGAAACGGCACGGAGAGGGACTGGGATGGACAGGGACTGGGATGGACAGGGATTGGGATGGACAGGGACTGGGATCAGCACCGGGAAACAAAACGGGCAGGGGTTAGGATGGACATGGATTGGGATGGACATGGATTGGGATCAGTACCAGGAACCAGCACAGACACAGATTGGGATGGACACGGGTTGGGATGGACACGGGTTGGGATCAGCAGCAGGAACTGCCATGGACATGCACTGGGACCGGGTCAGCCTCCTGATGGATCCAGATCAAGACTGGGATGGCCCCAGGATCGGAATGGTCCCAGGATTGGGATGGCCCCGGGCTGGGATGGCCCCGGGTTGGGATGGCCCCGGGTTGGGATGGCCCCAGGATCGGGATGGCCCCAGGCTGGGATGGACCCCGGGTCGGGCAAGGGCATTTCTGGGGCTGTTTTGGCCGTTCCTGGGGCCTTTTTGGGCATTTTTTGGGGCTATCAGGCCCTTTTTGGGGTGCCCCCACCTGAATCTCCTCGATGGTGTGCACGATAAACCCAGAGAACGGCCCGAAAACGCTCGGGAAGGGGCGCTTTTTTTGGGGCCCCTTTGGCCATTTTTGGGTCATTTCGGGTGTCGTTTTTTGGGGCCGCTTTGGGTGTTTTTTGGGGCCGTTTTTGGGGCTGTTTTTTTGGGGTGGCCCCACCTGAATCTCCTCGATGGTGTGCACGATGAACCCGCAGAACAGCCCAAAAACGCTCGGGAAGGGTCGTTTTTTGGGGTCGCTTTGGCCCTTTTTGGGTCATTTCGGGTGTCGTTTTTTGGGGCCGCTTTGGGTGTTTTTGGGTCATTTCAGGTGTCATTTTTTGGGGTCAGTTTTTTGGGGTTTCCCCCACCTGAATCTCCTCGATGGTGTGCACGATGAACCCACAGAACGGCCCAAAAACACTCGGGAAGGGGAGTTTTTTTGGGGTCATTTTCGGGTCACTTTGGGTGTTTTTTGGGGCCGTTTTTTGGGGCCGTTTTTGGGGTCATTTTTTTGGGGTGGCCCCACCTGTATCTCCTCGATGGTGTGCACGATGAACATGTCCTGCAGGTCCTCCATGGCGCTCTCCATCCAGTTGTTGAAGGGCGCGGCGCGCTTGGCGTACTCGAGGTGCAGCTCGTCGATCGTCTCCAGCTGCTTCTCCGTTTTCTGGGGACACCCAGGGGAAAGTCGGGATCTGCCCTGGGAAAAGGATCCCTCCCTCTTTAGGGGTCCTTCTCTACCTCCAGGGCGTCCCTGCGGCTGTGGGTGAGGAGCCCAGCAGGTCCCACTGGTCGCAGATGCGCTGGCAGCGCCTGTTCACGCTCGAGGAGTCGTAGTAATCCAGCTCGCTGGGGGAAATGGGGGATTTTGGGGAGGTTTGGGGGATTTGGGGGATTTAGGGGTTTATGGCTCAGTTATGGGGTGAGGGTCTCGATCTGCTCGGGGAGTCGTAGTAATCCACCTCGCTGGGGGAAATGGGGGGGATTTGGGGGATTTGGGGGGATTTGGGGGGATTTGGGGGTTTTATGGCTCAGTTATGGGGTGGTGGTTGTCATCTGCTAAGCCAGTCGTAGTAATCCAGCTCGCTGGGGGAAATTGGGGGGATTTTGGGGGGATTTGGGGGATTTGGGGGTGATTTAGGGGTTTATGGCTCAGTTATGGGGTGGTGGCTGCCACCTGCTCGGGGGGTGGGAATTTGGGGTATTTTGGGGTTATTCTGGAGGGATTTAGGGTTATTAGAGTTCAGTTATTGGGCAATGGGGTGGTTTAGGGCAGTTTTAGGGTTATTACAGTTTAGTTATTGAATAGTGGTTGTGATCTGCTGGGGGGGGGATTTGGGGGTAATTTGGGGTTATTTTGGGGTGGGTTTGGGGGGTTTTGGGGTCTCCCATACTTGAGTTCCTGGGCAATGGCTGCAATCTGCTGGGGGGTGATTTGGGGGTGATTTGGGGGTGATTTGGGGTTATTTTGGGGGTATTTAGGGTTGTTTTGGGGTCTCCCATACTTGACTTCCTGGGCAATGGCTGCAATCAGCTGGGGGGTGATTTGAGGTTATTTTGGGGGTATTTTGGGGTTATTTTGGGGTTATTCTGGGGGGTTTTGGGGTCTCTCATACTTGAGTTGCTGGGCAATAGCTGCAATCTGCTGGGGGGTGATTTGGGGGTATTTTGGGGTTATTTTGGGGGAGTTTGGGGTTATTTTGGGGTCTCCCATACTTGAGTTCCTGGGCAATGGCTGCAATCTGCTGGGGGGTGATTTGGGGTTATTTTGGGGTTATTTAGGGTTATTTTAGGGTCTCCCATACTTGAGTTCCTGGGCAATGGCCGTGATCAGTTGGGGGGGTATTTTGGGGTTATTTTGGGGGTATTTTGGGGTGGTTTAGGATTATTTTAGGGTCTCCCATACTTGAGTTCCTGGGCAATGGCTGCAATCTGCTCAGGGGTGATTTGGGGGTATTTTGGGGTTATTTTGGGGGTATTTAGGGTTATTTTGGGGTCTCCCATACTTGAGTTCCTGGGCAATGGCTGCAATCTGCTCAGGGGTGATTTGGGGGTATTTTGGGGTGGTTTAGGATTATTTTAGGGTCTCCCATACTTGAGTTCCTGGGCAATGGCTGCAATCTGCTGGGGGGTGATTTTGGGGGTATTTTGAGGTTATTTAGGGGTTATTTAGGATTATTTTAGGGTCTCTCATACTTGAGTTCCTGGGCAATAGCTGCAATCTGCTGGGGGGTGATTTTGGGGGTATTTTGGGGTTATTTTGGGGTTATTTAGGATTATTTTAGGGTCTCCCATACTTGAGTTCCTGGGCAATGGCCGTGATCAGTTGGGGGGGTGTTTTGGGGTTATTTTGGGGTTATTTAGGTGTTATTTAGAGGGGTTTTAGGGTCTCCCATACTTGAGTTCCTGGGCAATGGCTGCAATCTGCTGGGGGGTGATTTTGGGGGTATTTTGGGGTTATTTTGGGGTTATTTAGGGTTATTTTGGGGTCTCCCATACTTGAGTTCCTGGGCAATGGCTGCAATATGCTGGGGGGTGATTTGGGGGTATTTTGGGGGTTATTTTGGGGTTATTTTGGGGTTAGTTTTGGGGTCTCCCATACTTGAGTTCCTGGGCAATGGCTGCAATCTGCTCAGGGGTGATTTGGGGGTATTTTGGGGTTATTTTGGGGTGGGTTTGGCTGCAATCTGCTCGGGGTGATTTGGGGGTGATTTGGGGGTATTTTGGGGTTATTTTGGGGGTATTTAGGGTTATTTTGGGGTCTCCCATACTTGAGTTCCTGGGCAATGGCTGCAATCTGCTCAGGGGGTTATTTTGGGGTTATTTTGGGGTTATTTAGGGTTATTTTGGGGTCTCCCATACTTGAGTTCCTGGGCAATGGCTGCAATCTGCTGGGGGGTGATTTGGGGTATTTTGGGGTTATTTAGGGTTATTTTGGGGTCTCCCATACTTGAGTTCCTGGGCAATGGCTGCAATCAGTTGGGGGGGGGTATTTTGGGGTTATTTTGGGGGTATTTAGGGTTATTTTGGGGTCTCCCATACTTGAGTTCCTGGGCAATAGCTGCAATCTGCTCGGGGGGGGATTTGGGGGTATTTTGGGGTTATTTTGGGGTGGGTTTGGCTGCAATCTGCTTGGGGTGATTTGGGGGTGATTTGGGGGTATTTTGGGGGTATTTTGGGGGTATTTAGGGTTCTTTTAGGGTCTCCCATACTTGAGTTCCTGGGCAATGGCTGCAATCTGCTCAGGGCGTATTTTGGGGTTATTTTGGGGTTATTTTGGGGGTATTTAGGGTTATTTTGGGGTCTCCCATACTTGAGTTCCTGGGCAATGGCCGCAATCTGCTCAGGGGTGATTTGGGGGTATTTTGGGGGTATTTTGGGGTTATTTAGGGTTATTTTAGGGTCTCCCATACTTGAGTTCCTGGGCAATGGCCGCAATCTGCTCAGGGGTGATTTTGGGGTTGTTTTGGGGTTATTTAGGATTATTTTAGGGTCTCCCATACTTGAGTTCCTGGGCAATAGCTGCAATCTGCTCAGGGGGTTATTTTGGGGTTATTTAGGGGGGTTTTAGGGTCTCCCATACTTGAGTTCCTGGGCAATGGCTGCAATCTGCTCAGGGGTGATTTGGGGGTGATTTGGGGGTATTTTGGGGTTATTTTGGGGTTATTTAGGGTTATTTTGGGGTCTCCCATACTTGAGTTCCTGGGCAATGGCTGCAATCTGCTCAGGGGTGATTTGGGGTTATTTTGGGGTTATTTTGGGGTTATTTAGGGTTATTTTAGGGTCTCCCATACTTGAGTTCCTGGGCAATGGCTGCAATCTGCTCAGGGGTGATTTGGGGTTATTTTGGGGTTATTTTGGGGTTATTTAGGGTTATTTTGGGGTCTCCCATACTTGAGTTCCTGGGCAATGGCCGTGATCAGTTGGGGGGTTATTTTGGGGTTATTTAGGGGGGTTTTGGGGTTGTTTTGGGGGGGTTTTGGGGTCTCCCATACTTGAGTTCCTGGGCAATGGCTGCAATCTGCTGGGGTGATTTGGGGGTATTTTTGGGGTTATTTTGGGGTATTTAGGGTTATTTTGGGGTCTCCCATACTTGGAGCTCTCTGGGCGATGGCTGCAATCTGCTCAGGTGATTTGGGGTGATTTGGGGGTGATTTGGGGGTATTTTGGGGTTATTTTGGGGTAGTTTAGGGTTATTTTGGGGTCTCCCATACTTGGAGTTCCTGGGCAGTGCCGTGATCAGTTGGGGGTATTTTGGGGTTATTTCTGGGGGTATTTTGGGGTGGTTTTGGGGGTTTTTGGGCTCTCATACTTGAGTTCCTGGGCAATGGCTGCAATCTGCTGGGGTGATTTTAGGGTTATTTTGGGGTTATTTTGGGGTATTTAGGGTTATTTTGGGGTCTCCCATACTTGAGTTCCTGGGCAATGGCCGTGATCAGTTGGGGGGTGATTTTGGGGTTATTTTGGGGGTATTTTGGGGTTATTTTGGGGTTATTCTGGGGGGTTTTGGGGTCTCTCATACTTGAGTTGCTGGGCAATGGCTGCAATCTGCTGGGGGGTGATTTGGGGTTATTTTGGGGTTATTCTGGGGGGTTTTGGGGTCTCTCATACTTGAGTTGCTGGGCAATGGCTGCAATCTGCTGGGGGGTGATTTGGGGGTATTTTGGGGGTATTTAGGGTTATTTTGGGGTCTCCCATACTTGAGTTCCTGGGCAATGGCTGCAATCTGCTCAGGGGTGATTTGGGGGTATTTTGGGGTTATTTTGGGGGGGTTTGGGGTTATTTTAGGGTCTCCCATACTTGAGTTCCTGGGCAATGGCTGCAATCTGCTCAGGGGTGATTTGGGGGTATTTTGGGGTTATTTTTGGGGGTTTGGGGTTATTTTAGGGTCTCCCGATACTTGGAGTTCCTGGGCAATGGCTGCAATCTGCTCATAGGGTGATTGGGAGTATTTTGGGGTTATTTTGGGGTATTTTGGGGGTTTTGGGGTCTCCTATACTTGAGTTCCCTAGGAATGGCTGCAATCTGCTGGGGGGTGATTTTGGGGGTATTTTGGGGTGGTTTAGGGTTATTTTGGGGTCTCCCATACTTGAGTTCCTGGGCAATGGCTGTGATCAGTTAGGGGGGTATTTTGGGGTGGTTTTGGGGTTATTTAGGGTTATTTAGAGGGGTTTTAGGGTCTCCCATACTTCAGTTCCTGGGCAATGGCTGCAATCTGCTCCACCCTGTCCTGGTGCGCGGCCAGGTCGGACTCGAAGGCCTCGTGTTTGCGGAGCAGGGCCCGAACCTGGGCCAGGGAGGCCGAGCCGTAGTCCCGGTCCCTGAGGGCAACCTCCTTCCCTGGGCACAGATTGGGGGGTACCTGAGACCCCTGTGCCACCCCTGAGCCCCCCTGAGCCCCCTGTGCCAACCCCTGAGCCCCCCTGTGCCACCCCTGAACCCCCCAGAGACCCCTGAGCCCCCTCCTTCCCTGGGCACAGATTGGGGGCACCTGAGACCCTGAGCCACCCCTGAACCCCCTGAGCCCCCTGAGCCCCCCTGAACCCCTGTGCCCCCCTGAGCCCCTCTGAGCCCCCTGTGCCACCTGGGCCAGGAGGCCGAGCCAGTAGTCCCGGTCCCTGAGGGCCACCTCCTTCCCTGGGCACAGTTTGGGGGTACCTGAGACCCCTGAGCCCCCTGAACCCCCCTGAGCCCCCTGAGCCCCCCTGAACCCCCTGAACCCCTGGAACCCCTGTGCCACCTGGGCCAGGAGGCCGAGCCAGTAGTCCCGGTCCCTGAGGGCAACTTCCTTCCCTGGGCACAGATTGGGGGTACCTGAGACCCCTGAACCCCCTGAGCCACCCCCTGAACCCCTGTGCCACCTCCTTCCCTGGGCACAGATTGGGGTACCTGAGACCCCTGAGCCCCCTGTGCCACCCCCTGAACCCCCCTGAGCCCCCTGAGCCACCCCTGAGCCCCTGAGCCACTCCTGAGCCCCCTGAGTCCCTGTGCCACACCCTGAGTTCCCCCTGCTCCCCTGTGCCACCCTGAGCCCCTTGAGCCCCCTGAACCCCCTGAGCCCCCTGAGCCCCCTGAGCCCCCCTGAACCCCCCTGAGCCCCCTGTGCCAACCCTGAGCCCCTGAACCCCTCTGTGCCACCTGGGCCAGGAGGCCGAGCCGTAGTCCCGGTCCCTGAGGGCAACCTCCTTCCTGGGCACAGGTGGGGGCACCTGAGACCCCCTGAGACCCCTGAGCCCCCCTGAGACCCCTGTGCCACCCCCTGAGCCCCCTGTGCCACCCCCTGAGCCCCCTGTGCCACCCCTGTGCCACCTCCTTCCCTGGGCACAGGTGGGGGCACCTGAGACCCCTGAGTCCCCTGTGCCACCTCCTGAGCCCCCTGAGCCCCCCTGAGCCCCTGTGCCACCCCTGAACCCCCCCTGTGCCACCCCTGAACCACCTCCTTCCCTGGGCACAGGTGGGGGTACCTGAGACCCTGAGCCCCTGTGCCCCCCTGAGCCCCCTGTGCCAACCCTGAGCCCCCTGAGTCCCCCTGAGCCCCTGTGCCACCCCTGAGTCCCCTGTGGCCCCCTGAGCCCCCTGTGCCACCCCCTGAGCCCCTCCTTCCCTGGGCACAGGTGGGGGTACTTGAGACCCTGAGCCCCCTGTGCCACCCCTGAACCCCCTGAGCCTCCTGTGCCACCCCTGAGCCCCCCTGAGACCCCCTGAGACCCCTGAGACCCCTGAGCCCCTCTGTGCCCCCTCCTTCCTGGGCACAGGTGGAGGGTACCTGAGACCCCTGAACCCCCTGAGCTCCCCTGTGCCCCCTGTGCCACCTGGGCCAGGAGGCTGAGCCGTAGTCCCGGTCCCTGAGGGCAACCTCCTTCCCTGGGCACAGACTGGGGTACCTGAGACCCCTGTGCCACCCCCTGAACCCCTGAGCCCCCTGAACCCCCTGAGCCCCCTGTGCCAACCCTGAGCCCCTGTGCCACCCCTGAGCCCCCTGAGCCACCCTCCTTCCCTGGGCACAGGTGGGGGTACCTGAGACCCCTGAGCCCCCTGTGCCCCCTGAGCCCCCTGTGCCAACCCTGAGCCCCTGTGCCACCCTGAACCCCCTGTGCCAACCCTGAGCCCCCTGAGTCCCCCTGAGCCCCTGTGCCACCCCTGAGTCCCCTGTGGCCCCTGAGCCTCCTGTGCCACCCCCTGTGCCACCTCCTTCCCTGGGCACAGGTGGGGGTACCTGAGACCCTGAGCCCCCTGAGCCCCTGAACCCCCTGAGCCCCTGTGCCACCCCTGAGCCCCTCTGAGCCCCTGTGCCACCTCCTTCCCTGAGCACAGATTGGGGACCTGAGACCCTGAACCCCCTGAGCCCCCTGTAGCCACCCCTGAGCCCCTTTGCCACCCCCCTGTGCCACCTCCTTCCCTGGGCACAGGTGGGGGTACTTGAGACCCTGAGCCCCCTGTGCCACCCCCTGAACCTCCCTGAGCCCCTGAGCCACCCTGAGCCCCCTGAGACCCCCTGAGCCTCTGTGCCACCTCCTTCCCTGGGCACAGGTGGAGGGTACCTGAGACCCCTGAGCCCCTGTGCCACCTCCCCTGAGTCCCCTGAGCCCCCCTGAGCCTCCTGAGACCCCTGAGCCCCCTGAGCCACCCCTGAACCACCTCTCCTTCCTGGTACAGGTGGGGGCACCTGAGACCCCTGAGACCCCTGAGCCCCCTGAGCCCCCTGTGCCACCTGGGCCAGGAGGCCGAGCCGTAGTCCCGGTCCCTGAGGGCAACCTCCTTCCCTGGGCACAGATTGGGGGTACCTGAGACCCTGAACCCCCTGAGCCACCCCCTGAACCCCTCTGAGCCCCCCTGAGCCACCCCTGAGCCCCCTGAACCCCCTGAGCCCCCTGTGCCACCTGGGCCAGGAGGCCGAGCCGTAGTCCCAGTCCCTGAGGGCAACCTCCTTCCTGGGCACAGATTGGGGGTACCTGAGACCCCTGTGCCAACCCTGAGCCCCCTGAACCCCCTGTGCCACCCCCTGAACTCCCCTGAGACCCCTGAGCCCCTGAGTCCCCCTGTGCCACCCTCCTTCCTCTGCACAGGTGGGGCTACCTGAGACCCCTGTGCCACCCCTGAGCCCCCTCCTTCCCTGGGCACAGGTGGGGTACCTGAGACCCTGAACCCCTGTGCCACCCCCTGAGCCCCCTGAGCCAACCCTGAGCCCCCCTGAGCTCCCCTGAGCCCCCTGAGACCCCCTGAGCTCCCTGAGCCCCCCTGAACCCCCTGAGCCCCCTGAGCCCCCTGTGCCACACCCTGAGTTCCCCTGATCCTCCCTGTGCCACCCTTGAGCCCCTGAGCCCCCCTGAGCCCCCTCTGAGCCTCCCCTGAGCCCCCTGAGTCCCCTGTGCCACCCCCTGAGTCCCCCTGTGCCCCCTGAACCCCCCTGAGCCCCCTGAGCCTCCCTGAGCCCCCTGTGCCACCCCCTGAGCCCCCCTGAGCCCCCTGTGCCACCCCTGAGTCCCCCCGTGCCCCCTGAACCCCCTGAGCCCCCCTGAGTCCCCTGTGCCACCTCCCTGAGTCCCCCCTGAACCCCCTGAGATCCCCTGACCCCCTGTGTCAACCCCCTGAGCCCCCCTGAGTCACCCCCTGATCCCCCTGTGCCACCCCCTGTGCCATCCCCTGAGGTCCCCTGAAACCTCTGAGCCCCCTGAACCCCCTGAGCCCCCTGTAGCCAACCCCTGAGCCCCTGAGCCCCCCTGACCTCCTAGCCACCCCTGAACCCCCTGAGCCCCCTGAGCCACCTGAACCCCCTGAGCTCCCTGTGCCACCCTGAGCCCCCCTGAGCCCCCTGAGCCCCCTGAGCCACCCCCTGAACCCCCCCTGAGCCCCTGTGCCACCCTCTGAGCCCCCTGAGCCACCTCCTTCCCTGGCATAGGTGGGGGTACCTGAGACCCCTGACCCCTGTGCCACCTCTGAGCCCCCTGAGCCACCTCCTTCCCTGGGCATAGGTGGGGGCACCTGAGCCCCCTGAGCCCCTGTGCCACCCCTGAGCCCCTGTGCCACCCCTGAGCCCCCTGACCCCCTGTGCCACCTCTGAGCCCCCTGAGCCACCTCCTTCCTGGGCACAGGTGGGGGCACTTGAGCCCCTGAGCCCCCTGTGCCACCCCGAGCCCCCTGAACCCCCTGAGCCCCCTGAGCCCTGTGCCACCCCTTGGCCCCCCTGTGCCCCCCACGCCCCCTGCCCGGTACCTTCAGTCCATCCCTCGTGGATCGAGGCTTTCTGCCGGAATTTCTCGGCCAGGTGGTCGAGGCGCTCGAGGCGCCGCAGCTCCGTCAGGAGCCACTCCTCGTGCCCCTTCTCTGCCTGCTCCAGCCTCTGCCAGCCCGCCCCGATGTCCTGGGCACCCCAAAAATGGGGTGAGAGGGACCCCAAAACCCCCTGGGGTCACCCCAAAACTCCCAGACACATCCAGAGCCCCCCCAGACACACCCAGAGCCCCCCCAGGCAGAGCTGACCCCACTCCTCGTGCCCCTTCTCTGCCTGCTCCAGCCTCTGCCAGCCCGCCCCGATGTCCTGGGGGGCACAAAAATGGGGATCAGGGCACCCCAAAACCCCCAGACACACCCAGAGCCCCCCAAACACACCCAGAGCCCCCCCAGGCAGAGCTGACCCCGCTCCTCGTGCCCCTTCTCTGCCTGCTCCAGCCTCTGCCAGCCCGCCCCGATGTCCTGGGGGGCACAAAAATAGGGGTCAGGGCACCCCAAAACCCCCAGACACACCCAGAGCCCCCCCAGAGCCCCCCCAGGCAGAGCTGACCCCACCTCGTGCCCCTTCTCTGCCTGCTCCAGCCTCTGCCACCCTGCCCGATGTCCTGGGGGCACAAAATGGGGGTCAGGGTACCCTAAAACCCCAGAGCCCCCCAAACCCCCAGACACACCCAGAGCCCCCCCAGACACACCCAGAGCCCCCCCAGACACACCCAGAGCCCCCCCAGGCAGGGCAGGGCTGACCCCGCTCCTCGTGCCCCTTCTCTGCCTGCTCCAGCCTCTGCCACCCTGCCCCAATGTCCTGGGGGCACAAAATGGGGTCAGGGCACCCCAAAACCCCCCCTGATGTCCTGGGTGCCCCAAAAACGGGGATCAGGGCACCCCAAAACCCCCAGAGCCCCCATGTGCGCCCCCAGGCAGAGCTGACCTCCGCCTCGTGCCCCTTCTCTGCCTGCTCCAGCCTCTGCCAGCCCGCCCGATGTCCTGGGGGCACAAAACCAGGATCAGGGCACCCCAAAACCCCCCTGATGTCCTGGGCACCCCAAAAACGGGGATCAGGGTACCCCAAAACCCCAGAGCCCTCCCAGAGCCCCCCCAGAGCCCCCCCAGGCAGAGCTGACCCCGCTCCTCGTGCCCCTTCTCTGCCTGCTCCAGCCTCTGCCACCCTGCCCCGATGTCCTGGGGGGCACAAAAATGGGGGTCAGGGTACCCCAAAACCCCCTGGGGTCACCCCAAAACCCCCTGACACACCCAGAGCCCCCCCAGGCAGAGCTGACCCCGCTCCAGATGCTGCCACCCTGCCCCGATGTCCTGGGGGCCCCAAAAAATGGGGTGAGAGGGACCCCAAAACCCCCTGGGGTCACCCCAAACCCCAGAGCCCCCCTGACACACCCAGAGGCCCCCAGGCAGAGCTGACCCCACTCCAACCCGCTCCGATGTCCTGGGCACTCCAAAAATGGGGGTCAGGGCACCCCAAAACCCCTGATGTCCTGGGGCCCCAAAAATGGGGTGAGGGACCCCAAAACCCCTGGGTCACCCAACCCCCCCAGAGCCCCCTGAGCCCACCCTGCCCGTGGAAGGCGCCCAGCTGGACGGGTTTGGGGTGGGTTTGTACACCCTGAGGAGATTTACCCCAAAACCTCCCCAAATCCCTGTGGGACTCCCAAACCCACTGAGACCACCCTGCCCTCGGAGGGCATGAATGTGGGGTGGGTTTGGGGTGGTTCAGGGGTGGATTTCGAGTACCCCAACAATGATTTGCCCCCCAAATCTCTCCCTAAATCCCCTCTGAGACCCCAAATCCCCCAGATCCCCCAGGAACCCCAAATCCCTGTGGGACCCCAAACTCACTCGAGACCATCCTCCCTCGGAGGGCATGAATGCAGGGCGGGTTTGGGGTGGGTTTATGACACCCTGAGGAGGATTTACCTCCAAAACCCCCCAAATCTCCTCTGGGACCCCCAAATCCCCTAAATCTCCTCTGAGACTCCCAAATCCCCCAAACTCACCGAGACCATCCTGCCCTCGGAGGGCATGAATGTGGGGTGGGTTTGGGGTGGTTTAGGGTGGATTTTGAGCACCCCAACAAGGATTTGCCCTCAAATCCCTCAAATCCCTGTGGGACCCCCAAATCCCTGTGGGACCCCCAAATCCCTGTGGGACCCCCAAACTCACCGAGACCATCCTCCCTCGGAGGGCATGAATGTGGGGTGGGTTTGGGGTGGGTTTGTGACACCCTGAGGAGGATTTACCCCCCCAAAAACCTCCCCAAATCCCCTGTGGGACCCCCCAAATGCCCCCCAGGACCCCCAAATCCCCTGTGGGACCCCCAAATCCCCTGTGGGACCCCCAAATGACCTCATACCCACCAAGACCATCCTCCCCTCGGAGGGCATGAATGTGGGGTGGGTTTGGGGTGGGTTTGTGACGCCCTGAGGAGGATTTACCCCCAAAAAACCTCCCCAAATCCCCTGTGGGACCCCCAAACCCACTGAGACCACCCTGCCCTCGGAGGGCATGAATGTGGGGTGGGTTTGGGGTGGTTTTGTGACACCCTGAGGAGGATTTACCCCCCCAAAACCCCTCCAGGACCCCTCAAATCCCCCCCAGATCCCCTGTGGGACCCCTAAATCCCCTCTGGGACCCCCAAATCCCCTGAATTCCCCTAGACCCACCGAGACCACCCTGCCCTCGGAGGGCATGAATGTGGGTGGGTTTGGGGTGGGTTTGTGACACCCTGAGGAGGATTTACCCCCTAAATCCCCCCAAATCCCCCAAATCCTCTGGGACCCCCAAATCCCCCAAATCCCCTGTGGGACCCCCAAAACCCCCAAATCCCTGTGGGACCCCCGTACCCACCGAGACCATCCTCCCCTCGGAGGGCATGAATGTGGGGTGGGTTTGGGGTGGTTTAGGGGTGGATTTCGAGCACCCCAACAAGGATTTGCCCCTCAAATCTCCCCCAAATCCCCTCTGAGACCCCCAAATCCCCCTCAAATCCCCTGTGGGACCCCCAAATCCCCCCTAAATCTCCTCTGGGACCCCCAAATCCCCCCAAACTCACCGAGACCATCCTTCCCTCGGAGGGCATGAAGGCGGGGCGGCCGCTGAGGCGCAGCTTGGTCTGCAGGGTGTTGAAGTTGATCTCCAGCTGGCATTTCTCCTGCACCTTGGGGGGTTTGTGCACCCGCCGGTACTCCCGGAAATCCTCCAGCTTCTGCTGCATGGCCGGGATCGTCTTCTGGGGGTCCCGGGACTCCAGCCAGGGGATCGTGCGCTGGATCCACGCCAGGAGCTGGGAAAATGGGAAAAAACAGGGATTTGGGATCATCCTGGGACTCCAGGCAGGGGATGGGGTGCTGGATCCACGCCAGGAGCTGGGAAAAGGGGAAAAAATAGGGATTTGGGATCGTCTTCTGGGGGTCCCGGGATTCCAACCAGGGGATGGTGCGCTGGATCCACGCCAGGAGCTGGGAATGGGGGAAAAAAAGGGGATTTGGGATCATCCCGGGATTCCAGGCAGGGGATGGTGCGCTGGATCCACGCCAGGAGCTGGGAAAATGGGAATAAACAGGATTTGGGATCGTCTACTGGGGGTCCCGGGATTCCAGCCAGGGGATGGGGCGCTGGATACACGCCAGGAGCTGGGAAAATGGGAGAAAAGGGGATTTGGGATCGTCTTCTGGGGATCCTGGGATTCCAGCCACGGGATCGGCGCTGGATCCACGCCAGAGCTAGAAACGGGGAAAACAGGGTTTGGGAATGTGGGAATGGGAATAAACAGGATTTGGGATCGTCTTCTGCGGGATCCCGAGATTCCCAGCCAGGGGATGGTGCAGCTGGATCCACGTCAGGAGCTGGGGAAGAGGGATTGGGAATGTGGGAATGGGGTTAAATGGATTTGGGATCGTCTTCTGGGGTCCAGGATTCCAGCCACGTGGATGGTGCGCTGGATCCACGCCAGGAGCTGGAAATGGGGAAAAAAAGGGAGTTTGGGATCATCCTCTGAGGATCCTGGGATTCCAGGCAGGGGATGGTGCGCTGGATCCACGCCAGGAGCTGGGAAAACAGGGATTGGGAATGTAAAAATGGGAATAAAGATTTGGGATCGTCCCGGGATTCCAGGCAGGGATGGTGCGCTGGATCCACGCCAGGAGCTGGGAAATGGGGGAAAAAAAGGGGATTTGGGATCGTCTTCTGGGGGTCCCGGGATTCCAACCACGGGATCGTGCGCTGGATCCACGCCAGGAGCTGGGAATGGGGGGAAAAAAGGGGATTTGGGATCATCCCGGGATTCCAGCCAGGGGATGGGGCGCTGGATCCACTCCAGGAGCTGGGAAATGGGAATAAAGGGGATTTGGGATCGTCTTCTGGGGTCCCGGGATTCCAGCCAGGGGATGGTGCGCTGGATCCACGCCAGGAGCTGGGAAATGGGGAATAAACAGGGATTTGGGATTGTCCTGGGACTCCAGGCAGGGGATGGTGCGCTGGATCCACGCCAGGAGCTGGGAAAAGGGGAAAAAAAGGGGATTTGGGATCGTCTTCTGGGGGTCCCGGGATCCAGCCAGGGGATGGGGCGCTGGATCCACGCCAGGAGCTGGGAAAAGGGGAAAAAACAGGGATTTGGGATCGTCTTCTGGGGATCCTGGGATTCCAGCCACGGGATCGTGCACTGGATCCACGCCAGGAGCTGGAAACGGGGGAAAAAACAGGGTTTGGGAATGTGGGAATGGGAATAAACAGGGATTTGGGATCGTCTTCTGGGGATCCCGGGACTCCAGGCAGGGGATGGTGCGCTGGATCCACGCCAGGAGCTGGGAAAAGAGGGATTGGGAATGTGGGAATGGGGTTAAACAGGATTTGGGATCGTCTTCTGGGGGTCCCGGGATTCCAACCACGGGATCGTGCGCTGGATCCATGCCAGGAGTTGGGAAATGGGGGAAAAAAGGGGATTTGGGATCGTCTTCTGGGGGTCCCGGGATTCCAGGCAGGGGATCGTGCGCTGGATCCACGCCAGGAGCTGGGAAAAGGGGAAAAAAAGGGGATTGGGAATGTAAAAATGGGAATAAACAGGGATTGGGATCGTCTTCTGGGGGTCCTGGGATTCCAGGCAGGGGATAGTGCGCTGGATCCACGCCAGGAGCTGGGAAAATGGGAATAAAAAAGGGATTGGGATCATCCTGGGATTCCAGCCAGGGGATCGTGCACTGGATCCACGCCAGGAGCTGGGAAATGGGGGAAAAAAAGGGGATTTGGGATCGTCTTCTGGGGTCCCGGATTCCAGCCAGGGGATGGTGCGCTGGATCCACGCCAGGAGCTGGGAAAAGGGGAATAAACAGGGATTTGGGATTGTCCTGGGATTCCAGGCAGGGGATGGTGCGCTGGATCCACGCCAGGAGCTGGAAAATAGGGATTGGGAATGTGGGAATGGGGTTAAATGGGGTTTGGGATCGTCTTCTGGGGGTCCCGGGATTCCAAGCAGGGGATAGTGCGCTGGATCCACGCCAGGAGCTGGGAAATGGGGGAAAAAAAGGGGATTTGGGATCATCCTGGGATTCCAGGCAGGGGATGGTGCGCTGGATCCACGCCAGGAGCTGGAAATGGGGGAAAAAAGGGAGTTTGGGATTGTCCTCTGGGGGTCCCGGGACTCCAGCCAGGGGATGGTGCGCTGGATCCACGCCAGGAGCTGGGAATGGGGGAAAAAAAGGGGATTTGGGATCGTCTTCTGGGGGTCCCGGGATTCCAGCCAGGGGATGGTGCGCTGGATCCACGCCAGGAGCTGGGAAAAGGGGAAAAAAAGGGGATTTGGGATTGTCCCGGGACTCCAGGCAGGGGATGGTGCGCTGGATCCACGCCAGGAGCTGGGAAAAGGGGAAAAAAACGGGATTTGGGATCGTCTTCTGGGGGTCCCGGGATTCCAGCCAGGGGATGGTGCGCTGGATCCACGCCAGGAGCTGGGAAATGGGGGAAAAAAAGGGGATTTGGGATCGTCTTCTGGGGGTCCTGGGATTCCAGCCAGGGGATGGGGCGCTGGATCCACGCCAGGAGCTGGGAAAATGGGGAAAAAAAGGGATTTGGGATCGTCTCTGGGGATCGTCCAGCCAGGGGATCGTGCACTGGATCCACGCCAGGAGCTGGGAATGGGGGAAAAAACAGGGATTTGGGATCATCCTGGGGTTCCAGCCAGGGGATCGTGCGCTGGATCCACGCCAGGAGCTGGGAAATGGGAATAAAGGGGATTTGGGAGGGATTTGAGGGACTTTGGGGTGTCCCCCCCCCTCACATCACTGGTCAGGTTTGTCGTCCTCCCTGAGGGGAGCTCAGGGTGGGATTTCAGGAGGATTTGGGGGTGTTTTTTGGGGGTGTTTTGGGATGGTTTTTTGGGGTGTTTTGGGGGTGTTTTGGGGTGTTTTGGGGTGTTTTGGGGGTGTTTTGGGGTGTTTTAGACATTGAGAGGTTTGGGTGTTTCTGGGGTGTTTTGGGGTGGTTTTGGGTCCTCACATCGCAGTAGGCTACGTTCTCCCTGAGGGGAGCCAGGTGGGATTTCAGGAGGATTTGGGGGTGTTTTGGGGTGTTTTGGGGTGTTTTGGATGTTTGGAAGTTTGGGTGTTTCTGGGGTGTTTTGGGGGTGTTTTGGGGTGTTTTTTGGGGTGTTTTGGGGTGGTTTTGGGTCCTCACATCGCTGGCCAGGCGCTCGTCGTCCTCCCTGAGGGGAGCTCAGGGTGGGATTTTGGGGGTGTTTTGGGGGTGTTTTGGGGGTGTTTTGGGATGGTTTTTTGGGGTGTTTTGGGATGGTTTTGGGGTATTTTGGGGTGTTTTGGGGTGTTTTTGGGTCCTCACATCGCTGGCCAGGCGCTCGTAGTCCTCCCTGAGGGGAGCTCAGGGTGGGATTTGGAGGAGTTTTGGGGGTGTTTTGGGGGTGTTTTGGGGTGTTTTGGATGTTCAGAGGGTTGAGTGTTTCTGGGGTATTTTGGGCTGTTTTGGGGTGGTTTTTGGGGTGTTCTGGGGTGTTTTTGGGTCCTCACATCACTGGCCAGGCGCTCGTAATCCTCCATGAGCTGCTCGTTCTCCTGGTTCACGGCCAGCACTTTGCAGATCCGATTCGCAGCCGTCTCCGCCTGCAGGACGGGGATCCAGCGGGATCCAGCGGGATCCAGGGGATCCAGGGACATCCAGGGGATCCAGGGACATCCAGGGGAATCCAGGAGAATCCAGGGGGATCCAGGGGAATCCAGGAGAATCCAGGGACATCCAGGGGGATCCAGGAGAATCCAGGGGGATCCAGGGGAATCCAGGGACATCCAGGGGAATCCAGGAGAATCCAGGGACATCCAGGGGGATCCAGGAGAATCCAGGGACATCCAGGGGATCCAGCGGGATCCAGGAGAATCCAGGGGGATCCAGGGGAATCCAGGGGGATCCAGGGGAATCCAGGGGGATCCAGGGGAATCCAGGAGAATCCAGGGGGATCCAGGGAAATCCAGCGGGATCCAGGGAAATCCAGGGGGATCCAGGGGGATCCAGGGGATCCAGGGGGATCCAGGGACATCCAGGGGATCCAGGGGATCCAGGGACATCCAGGGGATCCAGGGGAATCCAGGGGAATCCAGGGGGATCCAGGAGAATCCAGGGGATCCAGGGACATCCAGGGGAATCCAGGAGAATCCAGGGGGATCCAGGGGGATCCAGGAGAATCCAGGGACATCCAGGAGAATCCAGAGAAATCCAGGGACATCCAGGAGAATCCAGGGACATCCAGGAGAATCCAGGGAAAAAAAACACGGAGAGGAGGAAAAGAGGAGTGAAATGCAGGGAAATCACAGGGAGAGAAGGAAAAGGGAAGGGAATGGAAGGAAAGGGAAAAGGGGAGTGAAATCCAACGAAATCACAGGGAGAGAAGGAAAAAGGAAGGGAAAAGGAGAGTGAAATGCAGGGAAATCAGAGGAAAAGAACCAAAAGGGGAGTGAAATGCAGGGAAATCAGAGGGAAAGAACCAAAAGGGGAGTGAAATCCAAGGAAATCACAGGGAGAGAAATAAAAGGGAAGGGAAAAGGGGAGTGAAATGCAGAGAAATCACAGGGAAAGAACCAAAAGGGGAGTGAAATGCAAGGAAATCAGAGAGAAGGAAAAAGGAAGGGAAAAGGGGAGGGAAATGCAGGGAAATCAGAGGGAAAAAAAGGGAAAACAACACGGAAAGGGAATTAAGAAAGGGATAAAGGAAGGAAGGAATAAAGGAAGGAATGGAGGAAGGAATAAAGGAAGGGCAGGAAAGAAACGAATAAAAAAAGGGAACATATGGTAAGAAAAAAGGAAATAAAGCACGGGATAAAAAAAAGGGATGAAAGAAAAGAATAAAGGAAAGGATAAAGGAAGAGAATAAAGGAATGGGAAGCAGGAGGAGCCCCCCAGGACGTGGCCCAGCAGCAGAGGCAGAGCCCACTCCCCTCCCTCTGGATCCCAATCCCAGCTCCCAGCCCCCAAATCCCAGTTCCCAGCCCCCAAATCCCAGCTCCCAGACCCCAATCCCAGCTCCTGGATCCCAATCCCAGCTCCTGGATCCCAATCCCAGCTCCTGGATCCCAATCCCAGTTCCCAGCCCCCAATCCCAGCCCCCAGCACCTTCTGTGCCCCGGAGAAGGCGTGGTAGAAGCAGGACACGTAGGTCATGATGGCCCATCCCAACTCCCAGCTCCCAATCCCAATTCCCAGCCCCCAAATCCCAGTTCCCAGACCCCAATTCCAGCTCCCAGATCCCCATCCCAGCTCCCAGATCCCAATCCCAGCCCCCAGATCCCAATCCCAGCCCCCAGACCCCAATCCCAGCCCCCAGCACCTTCTGTGCCCCGGAGAAGGCGTGGTAGAAGCAGGACACGTAGGTCATGATGGCCCCATCCCAGATCCCAATCCCAGCTCCCAGACCCCAATCCCAGCTCCTGGATCCCAATCCCAGCTCCTGGATCCCAAATCCCAGCTCCCAGATCCCAATCCCAGCTCCTGGATCCCCAATCCCAGCTCCTGGATCCCAATCCCAGCTCCTGGATCCCAATCCCAGCTCCTGGATCCCAATCCCAGCTCCCAGCTCCCAAATCCCAGTTCCCAGCCCCCAATCCCAGCCCCCAGCACCTTCTGTGCCCCGGAGAAGGCGTGGTAGAAGCAGGACACGTAGGTCATGATGGCCCATCCCAGATCCCAATCCCAGCTCCCAATCCCAGCTCCTGGATCCCAATCCCAGTTCCCAGCCCCCAAATCCCAGTTCCCAGCCCCCAATCCCAGCCCCCAGCACCTTCTGTGCCCCGGAGAAGGCGTGGTAGAAGCAGGACACGTAGGTCATGATGGCCCATCCCAGATCCCAAATCCCAGCTCCCAGATCCCAATCCCAGCTCCCAGATCCCAATCCCAGTTCCCAGATCCCAAATCCCAGCCCCCAGCACCTTCTGTGCCCCGGAGAAGGCGTGGTAGAAGCAGGACACGTAGGTCATGATGGCCTTCTCGTCCGGCCGCAGCGTCCCCACGATGTCTGAGCGGGAAAAACGGGAATTCTGGGATCCAGGGAATGCTGGGAATCCCCAGGGGGGGATTTCCACACCCCCCCAGGGGGTCAGGGGTTTGGCCTTTCCTTCCCCCCACCCCCACCCCGAGGGTCTGAAGGGCCCAGGGCATTCCCAGGGATCCCACATGGAATTCCACACAGAATTCCCAGGGATCCCACACAGAATTCCCAGGGGATTCCCAGGGATCCCACATGGAATTCCCACAGGGATCCCACACGGAATTCCGACAGGGATCCCACACGGAATTCCGACAGGGATCCCACACGGAATTCCCACAGGGATTCCACATGGAATTCCCCCAGGGATCCCACAAAGAATTCCCAGGGATCCCACACCGGATTCCCACAGAATCTCCTACGGATTTCACACGGAATTCCCACGGAATCCGGGGGGGTTTCACACGGATTCCTCCCGTGGATTTCCCACGGGATTTCTGCAGATTCCCCATGGATTTCCCCATGGATTTCCTCTGGTTTCCCCCCGTGGATCTCACCCTTGGTGTCCAACATCTTGGGGATGTCCAGGTACTTGGATCCCCCCAGATCCCTCTGGATCCCCGTGGATCCCTCCCTAGATCCCTCTGGATCCCCATGGATCCCAAGGCCCTCACCCTCTGCGTCCAGCATCTTGGGGATGTCCAGGTACTTGGATCCCTCAGATCCCTCCCAGATCCCCCTGGATCCCTCCCTAGATCCCTCTGGATCCCTCTGGATCCCTGTGGATCCCCTGGCTCTCACCCTCTGCATCCAACATCTTGGGGATGTCCAGGTACTTGGATCCCCCCAGATCCCTCCGGATCCCCCAAGATCCCTCCCTAGATCCCCCTGAATCCCTCTGGATCCCCCAGATCCCTCTGGATCATCGTGGATCCCTCCTAAGATCACCCTGGCTCTCACCCTCCACGTCCAGCATCTTGGGGATGTCCAGGTACTTGGATCCCCCAGATCCTCCTGGATCCCCCAGATCCCCTCAGATCCCTCCCAAGATCCCTTTGGATCCCCCTGGATCCCCCTGGCTCTCACCCTCGGCATCCAGCATCTTGGGGATGTCCAGGTACTTGGATCCCCCAGATCACTCCCTAGATCCCTCTGGATCCCCATGGATCCCCATGGATCCCCTGGCTCTCACCCTCTGCATCCAGCATCTTGGGGATGTCCAGGTACTTGGATCCCCCCAGATGCCCCTGGATCCCTCCCAGATCCCTCCCTAGATCCCTTTGGATCCCTCTGGATCCCTGTGGATCCCCGGGCTCTCACCCTCCGCG